GCAATCGCTAAAGATGTCACTTCATGGTTTCATGGAAACTTTTTTCACTGTGGTTGGCTGAACAATATTAGTAACAGAAATCGAAGTAAACAGTCAGCCGATATCACAGTATGGAACATGGTGCCATAATATATATTTCAGAAATTTGTCAGACAGTTTTAGTTTGCAATTGTTACCAATGACATACTGGCTCTAGAGAAGGTTATACATAATAGTCAACAATCTTCACCTGACATCTAACATTTGTGGGGCAGGGTGTTTCCGATACCATCTGACTGTCCAACAAGCAGGTCAGACAGACCGCAAACCTAGCCTAAGTGACGGTTAGCAGAGTTCCCAGTTTTGAACAAGGAGCTAAAGTCTGGAAAGTAATTAGGCACTTAAATACAGCCTATAAACAAATGTGGCAATAGAGTGTCAATCCGAAATTATTTCTCTGCTGATTGGTCCTGTTGCTCAACACTCAACACAGTTCTTCAAAGTCTTCCTGCAAACACTTCCCATTTGCACATGTGTGATGTTGGCGTTGTAGCTCTGCCTGCCTCTCGGTGTGAACGCTGCGGCTCCGGACACCATGTAGTTAAGTGGCCGAAAGCGGCACTTTCAACTTAATGAGACCATGTACTGCCTGATTCATTTACTCTAAAATACATGTTGTGGGACGAGAACAGTGTGTCATTAGAAATCACTTGACGGGCACCCAAAAACAGAAACTGTTTCTTCTTTCTTCTTTTTTCTTTCCATCCACACAGAGGGAAATGGAGACAGACGGAAGTCAAGAGGCAGGCAGAAGAAAAATAAGAAGGAGGAGGAGCAGGGAGAGGAGGGTGAGGGGTCAAAAAGTGTGAACTCCTGTTTCTTTGTGACCTGTTAAAATCACTCTGTGAGCATTCAGGGTCAGTGAGGACGAAGGAGGGAGGGGATCCGTCCTTTCTCTGTCAGCGGGGAACAGCTCATGCCTCACTGCCTCACTTTGGACCCAATCTATATGCTCTTTCTTCTCCCCTTGTATCTGATTCTGAAAGTGTGTCAAAGCCAATCATTATGTTTGTTGCGGATATCGTTGACCTCTGTGTGTGTTCATGCACGTATCTGTGTGTACTTGGAAGGGAAACCTGCAGGCGTTTTTTTCTCATGCGCTGACTGTTCAGCATTGTACCAAAACCACACAGCAGAGGCTCTCTCTGGGAAACACAGCATTTCTGTCAAATCTGTTTGAGATGCATGCAGCTCCAGAGTCTAATTATGCTCGGTTTGAAAGTACAGACACCCCGATGTCAAAGACAGACTCTATAAATCACACACAGTCATTAGTGGAAATATACTTTTTTTCTCTATTCTTTTGAGGGCTTGGCAATACAACATAAGCCATGACAAATAAAAGCAATAAACTATTTATTGTTGAAGGCTTAGAAATGGTTGCATTACTCCACACAGACAGGAATGGCATTTACGCAAACGAATTGGCTGTAAACGCTTTTTATTTGAAACCCGGGATATAACTAGAAACTTGTGGCTTTCCATGAAAGGATATGTATATATGCATGTCTGTGTGTAAGCATGTGTGCGTGTAAGGCTGACAATCCCGTGTGCATGTGTGACAGTGTGTTTTCCTTCTCACTCACTTTCTCTTCTACAATATGTCAAGTAGCTTCCAAATATTTTGTGTCAGAAATAAAGTTTGCATGAGGAATTTCACAGAAGGCCGTGGCAAAAGTACATTAGACTATATGGTCAGGAAATATGAATCTGAATGTGTACAAGTTAGGTGAACAGAAACACTCCCGAGTCTTTCTTTTCCCTACTTGTGGGCCTCCAAGTGTGAAGCCTCCTACAGGAACCAAAAGAGAGAAAAAAAAGAAAAACAAAAAAAAAGAAAATATCATTTTACCAGCCACAATCATGTGAGTTTGTGTGTATATATGTGACATGACAAAATGAGGTCCTGGAGACCATGGCAGAAACACAGGTTGTTTTGGGTACTTTGCCTGGTGTAAGTTTCTGTGGGTACACCTTACATACAGGTGAGTAATTCAGGTCAGAATAAAGGAAAAGATATGGCCTGACCCACTAATACTAGAGCAAGTATTCAGATAATAATGTGACATCAGGGAAAAAGAGTTAGAATAAGAAATCATTTATTCGTACAACATCATCTAGCAAAAATGTTGCTAGATCCCACCAATAATGGACAGTTCATGATTTTCATGGTTCTATATGGACACCCTGCACATACTGCACATGTGCAGTCACACTTCACATGCAACCTCTTGGTTGAAAATAACCAAGCTAATATCCTGTGGGACTTCCAGATACAGATGGAGAAACTAATGATGGCTAATCAACCAGACATACTAGTGATGGATAAGCAGAGGAAGATGGCCGTATCGATAGACGTAACTTTACCAAATGATAGCAACATCAAGAAGAATCAACACAAGATTGTGGGCTGATAGAGGAGCTAGAGAAGATGTGAAAGGATGGATGGAGGTAACAGTGGTCCCTGTGGTAATCGGAACACTTGGGGTGACTTCAAAGCTTTGTGTCTCAAGCAGATTCCAGGAAC